TAGTAAAACATAGCGCCATCTTCTTCTTGTATCAAAAATACATCAACAGTTGACATAACCAATCCGTATATTTGCTTTCATTTAATATCTCGTCTACTCGTTCATTTGCCTGCATTTTTCTTTGTATTCTTTGGAAAATCAAATTGTAAACGTCCATTTTATTGGACGTGACAATGAATACAAATTTTAGTAATGAATTACAACAATTACAAATGGAGCTTCGTATGTATTATTCATTTTTCTAATTAATTAATTAATCAATTAAAAACAAATCATTTATTCATGTTATAGGTGCTCAAAATTTTGATATTATTCGATTTTCTACATACCGAACAGCATGTAAATTACGTTTCATTCAAAAGAAACTTAACTGTAAGTTTTGTTTCAATTCAAATTTATTCTATTTTCTTTCTTTTAGTTCATCTTCTTGATTTATTAAATGTAGCTGAATCACTTCGAGAATCTCTGAAAAGTTTATCTTCTGAAACAACTCCAAATCATTTTATATCAAATCAATCATGTCTATTAAATAATAATAAATTTCTTTCAATAAATCATTTAACTATATTTCTTACATCAATCTATACAAATTTAAATAAACGTTTACCATTATCTCAACAAATATTGCATATAGATAAATCAGTACAGTCCGCTATAGCATGGTTTTTATATGTTTATAATATTAATAATGTTTCCATACGTTTTAATTCCTTTCGTGTTGTACTTATACTCTTATGTACCGGTAAATTAGTAGATAAATTACGTCATTTATTTACATCTTATTTTTCTACATCATTGTCAAATACATTAACACATGGACAGATAGATGAACTTTTACATGAAATTCTTGCATTACCATACGCTTTAAAAGAAATTTCACATTCCACATATTGTAAAAATTATTCGCAATCAATATTTTCACAATCATCATCGTCGATTACTCTTAATGATTTTCTCGATATATTAGTTTATAATGATAAAACACCTAATTGTTTACAATGGCTTATTGTATTTCACCGTTTAATAAGTGTTGAAAATGGTAATTTTTAATTTAAAAAAAAAAAAATTCTGCAATGATGATTAAATTATTTTCTACTACATTTTGAACTGAATATTTATATATATTTATATATATAAATTCTGTCGAAACAAAGCGATCTGAGCAGAAAATTTTCAAAATCTTAAACTTACATATTATATTATATTCTATTATCTTGTTTAGTTATTCATCGAGTAAAATGTTCAGCATGTCAACGCCCATCATTTTCTGGTTTTCGTTATAAATGTCAACAATGTCATAATCGAACATATCAATTATGTCAAGATTGTTTTTGGCGTGGAAGAACTTCAAATCAACATTTATCAACACATGAAATGAAGGAATATACATATTTTACATCACCTAATAAAGATTTTCGACAGTCAATTCGAAAGTAATTTCATAGAAAAAAATATTCTTTTTTCGTTATGATTATTATTTAGATCTCTTCAATGTATGCCAAAGAATGAAAAACGTAATCAATTATTAAGTCCATTAACAGTTGATAAAGAACAACAATCAACAGAACATACAGATATATCTTTATATACAAAAAGACTTGCATCATTTACTGAAAATGAAAATAGTACAAATACCAAATATTGTTCTCGAAAGAAATATAACGATAATCAAAATGCAGAGAAAAAACTTCTTATATCAAAACTTGAAGCAGAAAATAGGTAAAAGAAAAGATAATATTAAGATTACGAATACTTCCATTAGTAAATGAATCCTCAAAAAGAAAAATTTCAACTTAATTAAATGTTCCTTATGACATAATGTCATGCGTTTGTAACTAGATTATTTAATAACAATGCAGTGTTCTGTTACGTAGGGAATATTCGTTTAATTCTAACCTTGAAGAATGTGTGGTGTATAGATTATAATGAATCATGAATACCCCTAAGGAAACGTATTTCTATTCCGGTAATGAATAATTCCCTCCTACATTTTTAATCAATTGATTAGTTTATTTTTAAAATAGTAGCGTACATATTTTCGACCCTACAAATTAATAAACATTATACAACTAATAGAAAAGAAAATAGAGGCTTCTCATTTGAATATTGTCTAAAACCTTTATTTTTCTAGACGAATTCTTCATGAAATCAATACATTACGTGCACAACTTAAATTTCGATCTCTTGATTATCTTAATAGTAATGATTATGATACAGATAATTTTTCTACAATAGAACAACAATATTCTCAAACATTACCTAATCGAAAATCGAATATTCAACATGATTGTTCATCGTATCCATCAAATTATGATAATAAATTAAGACGTGCTGGTTCAGTTGAAACAACTAATAAAAATTGTTATATCGAAGATGAATTAAGAAAATTATTAGCACGTAAATATCATTTAGAGTCTCGTATTGATCAGTTACAACAAAGTCGAGAAGAATTAACAACACAATTAGATAATCTTGGAAGAATTCTACATGATTCTACACATTTACGACAGCGATCCGCAACATCCAGTCCATATACTCGCTCATGTGTATCACCATCACGTATAAATACTCAAGTAATCAATTCAAAGAATATTTCAAATCGAAGTTATTCAACACCAACAACACCTATTCATAATCAATTCATGAATTATTGTAATGACATATATGATTAATATAGTTTTAAATCTATTCATTTCTTTTCAGTACATACTGATCTTCTTCTAGCAGCTGATTCTTTAACTTCAGCTTTATCAACACTTGTTCAACATTTAAATACAAGTAAAAATAGATTTATTTAATTATAATAAAAATTTCTTATATATTTTTTCAAGAAAATACTGAACCAAATCAAACAACAACAGCAACAGTTCAAACTCTAAATGAAGACAATTCATATTCTTACGAAAATGGTAATCCGGCTAATACTGATGATTACCTTTTAGCAACAACAGATAATGATAATAAAATATTTAATTCCACATCAATAAATAAAAATGTATGAGAAAATCTATTATCTATTCCATGACTAATTTAATATTCATAGAAGCATGTTTAACAGACACGACATAACAGTAATCGATATATATATATTTTTTTCTTCAGAGATGATTATTTTTATATGAAACAATTGACCAAATTTTTTCCTTATATAGTAGTGATAGCTTGTGTATATGTATGTTTTTTTT